ATTATTTAACACCAACACTAGCATAAAGGAACTTTGAAATTGGAAGAGGGAGAGACAAATGAGAATTCTCGTAAAAAAAAGCTAAATAGTAGTCGAGCGTACTGAGGCTTTTGCTACTCATTGTTTTTCTAAGAATTAAATGGTTAGTAATTCCCCTCGTGGATCTTTTTGTTCATTTCACCACTAGTCTTCTTGATGGTGTATTAATATTTTATTGATAAATTACTTCTTGGTAATCGTTGAGAGTGAAAGGGTTTAGGTGGCCAAATAAAAAGTGCTGTTGGTGAACTTACGGACTGTAAGAGAACATAAGTAGTGAGCGAACATGAATTTTAGGTACGATTTCAGTTCATATGAATTGTAAATAATTATTTCGAGTTGTTTTTTACTTACAAAGGCCCCTAAATCCAGGGATGTAAATACATTTCTTTGAGTCCATTTACTCCAGCTGAGGGTAACTTGTACAGTTTTCAGGGAAGTATTTCATGATTGTTATAATTGTAATATTTTCAATTTTTTAGAGACTGTTTGAAGTCTCGTAAATTATGAATTGCTGTATTCAGTCAGTTGGAAGATCTTCTACTCACATCTCTGAGTTTAAAATAAATTCTCCGTATTGCATTCTTTGTGTGAAAAAATTCATTGATTTTCTCGAGCTAAAATTTCTGTGGGCCCGATCACGAACCTTCGTTCTGGAAATGAGCTTACGCTCCATTTTCCGTTTATCCCCCCTTCCCCCAACCAAATTTCCTTCTCGGTAAGATCGAAGGACGAATCCGAGGAAACGGCCGAAGAGTGTCTACAGGTTATTTAGGTCTCTTGTACGCAATACGTACAGTTGTCCTTGGCAGCATGCAGTCTTTCATCGGTCTCAATGAATGTGTTCATCTCGGATCTCTTCAGTTTTTTACTCAAAGTTCGTTGCCTTGTGAGTTCCCTGTAAATTTCATCATATGTAAAAAAGGAGGTTTCTTGTACTATATCTTTTCTGATTCCTGGCACAAAAAGGTTTCTGTTTATTAGGTTAATTTTCGGCCAACAAGCCCAACATTCGATCCTTATGAAGTGTTCAGGATCTTTGTCAATATAACCAATTGTTATATGATAAAATTACAATTATAGTTAATCTACAATATCGTAAGGGTTTCCTTGTATTGGTGCCGGAAAAAGGAATGGAAATATTATATTATTTTAAGCCATTTAATGCAAATTATAAATAGGGCAGGTTGATTACTTCTTACTCCTTCTTGGAGGGTCTCAATGGGGTGATGGCTTTTACGGCTATCGGTTAAAATTTTGG